GAAAATACCCCACCAGAAGCCTGTTGAAGCGTGCGGCTACGCCCACCCGATCTCAGGGATTTGGCGTATATATATGGTTCATCCAATTCAGCATCACATCGGACAAATAGTAAAATAATCCCTCGCGTACCAATGCCACGCGTCCAGCTTTCATTCAAGAACGTGCAGTCGTTTTCGCTACAGTTTCGTATTAGGACCTGGCCTAGGCGCCACACAACCCGTTGTCCATCTATTGTTGAAGCGGCTAAGTGAAAAAAAATTTGTGGAAAATGGTCTGACACCAAACCCAGCCCCCTGACACGCCCCAGTGTCTGCGGCGAAATCCATTATAGATCTATATGACTGCCAGCGCATTTAGTGCAGGCCCTGAGTGCGTCTTCAAAGACCTTGTGGGACATCCTGAGTGCTTCTTTACCGATCTGATGACCTGATGTGATGTTCGTGTCCACTGCTAATCTCCTGAAAATTTCTAACCTATGCACCCTCCTAGCGACCAACTTTGAGAAAATTCAAGCTAAATGTTTGGCAATTTGAAGTAAAGAATTTCTACTTTTCTCAGCATTCTGTATTTTTTTGTCATTGATCGCAAAGAAATTAAAATGCAGAAAAGTTTAATGTAGTGCACTGCTTGGAAAGAGTCTCTTCAGTGGCAGGACGAGGGATATAGGCTACAGCAGCCAAAAATTCCCTTGTATAGCCATCAATACACACTTGTTCATTGCAGAAGACGAAGGCATGACGGTTTTCGTGGAGATTTGGATTCAAGCAATCACGTCCATTGATGAGCTTACCAACGATTTCGAAATGGACATTTATATCACTGAAAAGTGGCTCGATCCTGCGTTGAATTTCCAGCGTATGTCACCATGCAAAGGTGAGAACTCCGATTTAGCCACCACTCTTTTGAAGGCGAACTACACGCTTCCTTTCGGAAAGGTCCTCTCCATATGCCAGGTAAAAGGGTTTACAGAGAATTTTGCAGAATAATATGACCCCCTCCCCCACCTCACTCACCATCCCACTTATTTGTTCATCAAGAAAATGCCTCGAAAGTGGTGTATATAGCGCAGCAGGTGGAAATACTGAGAAAAGCCGACAAACAAAATTATTTTTCGAAGGCGAAAAACACCTCTGCCCCCTTCATCGCTGAGGATACCCAACATGCGATGTACCTTACTACCCTTCCTCGCTGTCCTTTCACGCGCATATCGCGTGGATGAGGAGAACCTCAGAGACCTCAAAGAGCTACAGGAACGCTCACCTTCTCACATTTGTTTTATTCACGACAAGCTTCACCAAAAATATTTCATTTTGTAGGAAATCTCTCACTGAATCATCAGGTGCTCGACCGTTTATGGACACCAAACAGTTGTTTTATCAATAGTAAAGTTGCTCAAATACATGATTCACCTTTCAGGTAAGCCAGCAGCTTTACCCTCTCTTCCCCGTATTTGGGAATGGAGTTTCACTTTCTTAACTAAGCGTTTCACAGTACTACTTCATTATTGAGTTCGTTATTAATCATGGGCTCAGTGGACGCTCTGCAGTCTGACAAAAAAAAGAGGGAAAAGAATGATAACTGCTACTGCTTTATGGTGTTCACGTCTCGTTTTTCCGAAAAAATTAGTATTTTTCTATTCATCTCTCAAATAAATGTTATCGTTTTCCAGAAGTGTTTTTCTTATGTTATTTCCAAATGGTACCGTAATGGTCAACTATCGTGTACGGGTTAAAGGACCATGCTCATTGGAACTTAGCAATTTTCCATTAGATCTTCAAACATGCGGATTAATCTACGAGAGGTAATGCTTAGATATATTTAGATTCTCCTAAGGAATGTGTCGAAACTCTGGAGCCCGACCCGAAAATCATATCCTGTGCTTCCCTCTTCCTACATTTGAGAGAAACTGTTCACTCAGCTCAGTGGCTCTTCCCTCATGCAAGGCAAATGGATAGGCACTTGCCGTAGCGTGCCATTTTTCTGGTCAAAAGTGCACGGAAATGAGGCTGGAGAATAGTGATACCCGAGCGCCGTCTTCATACTCCGCTCCCGTATCGTACGGCCACCCATGCGCCTAGTCATAGCCAAACGCACTACTTGTCTTCACGCACTTCTGGTTGTTCTCCTACCACTAAGTTCGTGTTTTGGGGCGGACCTTGGCACAACGCAAGTGCTGCACCTTGAGTATAGGCTTAGTATGGACACGGCACCCGTGTGTGCTCATCTATTGCATAAAAAAACCCACGTTGCGCTTCCCATCGTTCAACCCATCCGTCATTTTCCAGTTTCAACTACAACAATCAAGAGGTTCGTATGCGATGGTCAACGATAGACGAGCCAGTCCAGCCGATGGCTCAAATCGTCCTGCCAGACTTTGACCTCTTCAAAATCAAAGCCGTTCGAAAAGAAGAGGTTCGGCCCTTCCTTTATCATAATGTTTCCAACAGTGTAGGATCTTAATGAGTTACAGCCATATCCAGCTGGAATGTGGGACGAATTACATGTGATGATTATGTTTGAACGACGATTTGTATGGTATTTCATGCAGGCTTATTTGCCAACATATCTCACTATTTTTATTAGGTCAATTTCTTTAATATTCGCTATTCATTGACTGTGCACTTCACTGGTCGCCTCTGCGCGCAGCCGCGAAGCGGTCGCGTCTCTGTTTGACAGTCATCCGAGAAGTTCCATTTTTTCAGCTGGATATCATTCGCGTTGGGACCTCGAGCCATTCCGGCACGTACCATGCTTGGGGTCAACGCCCTGCTTGCGATGATCTTTCAGTTCGGAAATATCATGCGAAATCTGCCAAGAGTGTCCTATATAAAAAGCCATAGGGTTAAAGAGATCTTTTTCGTGGTAAAAGCTTGATCAGGGCACAGCATTCGATGGGGATTTTGGTCGAGCCTGTACGACCCCCCCCCTTTTTTTGGGGGTTCGGTACGACCCCCCCCCTTTTTTTGCCGTTCGGTTTTTTTCGCCTTAAATGAAACTATGAAACGCCCACTATGAAATTCTACTTGTATGAAGGTGCCCATACTAAATGGACGACTTGAAGTCATGACATAATAGAACAATACAGAGATGATTGCAAACAAAAAACGGTACAATCGTATTATGAGAAACTCGTATGATGAACTTCTTCGATGGCCGTTTTGAAACACACATGGTAATAATAACGATGTATCGCGATTAAATTCAATGAGCATTCGTTAACCTGAGGTGGACTCCCTCTCTGGGAGCGGCCATCAGCGACCACAGTGTTAACAACGTCTATTCCCAAGATTGAGGACGAGGAAAAAGAGAAAGTTAGGCTTGTCTCACTACGTAACAGTTATACAAACCGCCGTAAAAATGCATTACCCCGATTATTGGAGTACGGTAGCAGAAGCGCATGTAATTGCGGCTGTGACAGGAGATTATTCGGCAATTTTAGCCATGGAGCGAGAATTTCCAGCTGAGTTAGGTGTCTTTGAAGGACCATAACTTCCTCAAAAGCGGACCTGTGGGGAAGAGGAGACGTACTCGTGTAGAGGAAGGTTTGCACTTCCTAAAAGTACTAAAACGTTTATGAACGTCGCAAAAATCACAGAGAAATCTGCCATAGGGATTCGTTGGGGAGTGATTTCAACCGAACAGGTTTGAATCAATATATTTTTTTGTAACTCAACATTTCACAAATCTGAGAATGGTTTCGAGTGTTTGAAGATTTTCTCTTTCTAAAACCTCTTGAACTGTTTCTGAAGCTCTCGGGATTCATGAGATCTCGCTATGGGGATTTCTTGAGGAACACTCCCAGCTGCGCGAAAAACCCGTTTCCTGTGTACCGTTTCAAGTGAGCGTGTTCGAATAGCCAGGAACGCATGTAGAACGTATCCTGTGGTGGAGCAGGAGCAGGATATGGTTCGTTTAGCGCCGATCACGCCAACTTTGGATGCGCCGCGCACTGAGGGCGCGCAGAGAGGTGATGGGATGGTGCAACTTGTGCGTAATGTCTGTTCACGCGAGCAAATGTGTCTATAAGGTTCAGGGAGGTCCATGGCGAGCCTGTGCACTTGTTTACAGTGTTTTCCGTTGCGTATGATGGAACATGTCCCTGTCAACGCTGCCAGATTCGTGCTCCGCCAATCGCTGACTCCGATAAAGGAGACCAACTGCTGGAAAACGTCTGATATGAACGATATGGTAGTCCTGTCGCTTGTCGAGAAAAAAACAGGTTGGCTCAGCGCCAAGCGCGACCGCGGACACGCCATATCATTGGCAGCGAACCAGAGTTTGACTGTTTGTACTGTTTAGTCACCAACGGACCTACGAGATGATGTCGACTTATTAATATTTGCAGTTATTTCGGATTAGTTTGATGAATGAAAGTTTTGTACTATTTTTTTGCATATCCGAGTTCTCTACAAAGCAAGTTTCGTTGTACAGGACTCAGCACATTGACAATTTGCGCTGCTCGTTACTGGCTGCCGCACTCACTACGACCCCCCCTCTCCTGGCGGCCAAATACGACCCCCCTGTTGGGGATTCCCCAACCAACGATGTGCCCTGCGCTTAGATGTCAAAGCTAGTCTGTTGGCGTGAAAATGTTGAAGACACTTCCCGCGATCAAGTGGTCCTCAAAAATGACTTATGCTTTTGAAACCTTCTTCGCCTTTATGAAGATGTACCACTTTCATCCCTCAATAGGGCGCGATAAGGAAGTTAGAGCGATTTCCACAAAGCTCGCTAGCGCCGCTATATGGTAGGTGGACGAGGCATCGGCTCGCGAGCAGCCTTTATCTCTAAAACACCCGTGCGGCACGTGTCGCACGCGGCGCTTTTGGCACTTCTGCCATCTTCGGTGATTCTCGCTTTTCACAGCGCATTAATCGCAAACTCTACCGTGAACATAAAATTAAATGGACGCGCTAAGCTGTTTTTGGGTTCCATATCGTCCTTTCGCGAGCTCAATTCCAATTATTAATACGCTACAACAAGATAGCAAGCAAACCTTTTTTATTTTTTCTGAGTTTCATACCCTGCAAGCGATGGGAAGGACGTGATCTGAAGAGCAGCTAGTTCGTTTTCCTACTCATGGCAAGAGGAGGATAAGAAATGAAGAGCAGTTAGTGTGTTTTTCGGGCTTGCCTAATGATTCTTTTCAGATGGGACCACTATGCAACTGTTACTACCCCTTCTTCCGACATCAGGCCAGTTTTACCACCGAGCTTTTTAAGAAAAAGGCTGAAAATTTTGTTCCTAGACCTTCAACATCCGCACACGGAGATAGCATCGCTTGGGCAGGATGTGCCTGGCACTAACGCCACGGTCCCACGGCTCAAGCTTTACGCTCCAATCGCTATGGAGAGCGCGCCCTTCGCGCTCGACGTACTCGTCCAAGACTGCTGGGGTGAAGTCTGTGTTCAAGGTGTTCCCGAGGTTTTTTCCGCTTCTTTTTCTACTGAGAAGCTACCTATGGGATACTGGTTCATGACGGAGCACCAACTACCCGCAACACTTGATCGCGGGAATTGTCTTTAAAGATTACACGAGGAAGGAAACGTGGGCATTTGACCCACTTTCGTGGCGGAAAGTGGCAAGGTAAAGGCGCTAGGGCGCAAAGTTGTTCCGGCAGCATCTCCTCTTACCGGTGACTCCGCCTCCAGATCCGCTTCAGAGCCTGCCCTCCACCGAGAACGATTTTACTGAGAAACTAGCATGGGAGGGATCCTTATTTGTCCTTTGTTGGCCCACAGGGTTCATCATAAGGAAGCGGCTGACTGGAGTCGTCCCAAAAGGTGGTCTTTTCGCCTTGTGCTTGGAAAACCGTACCCATGCTCAAGGCTAAAGGGGTCCTATCAGTGTCGTTTCCGGCACGTATGCTGTTCCTTTCTTCTCACTGACGACGCCCTCGGCATCTTTTCTCCCTCAATTCAACACCGATACCTACTCCTCTTTACGAGAAACTATGCATTGTAATGAGAAATCAATGTTCTAGAAGTATACGATATTATTCAGATGTGTGGATGCTTGTATCGATGACGTTTATTTTCTCTAGTCTTCTCGAGCTGGCGATAGTTGGCTATAAAGTACGGGACGAAAGTAAAGTCGGGAACAAGACAGCGTCAAAGAAAACAAAGGTAAGTCCTCTAGATATGCCCTGAAGGTTCATGAGATAAGGCTGTGCTTCATAAGCTTCCACACAACGTCATTAACAAATGCGCTTCACACGGGTTGAATTAATGGGTGTTCCAAGTTAAGTGCAAACTGTGAAGTCGCCCGCGGAAGTGGTAGTCCTTATCATGTGCGAGGTGGATGGGTGGTCCCAGCTGAAGTAGCGTGCCATTTTTCCACTGAAAAGTGAACGGGAACGGGGCTCCCCAGGGAACGGGTCTTAAGCGGGGTGGTGCCGGCTGTCGTCTGCGACTTCGACCGCGCTGTCGCAACCAGAACAACCAGATGGGAGATCAAAGGCAAGTAGCGCGTTTGGTTATGGTAATGCACCTTGAGGATAGCAGGGGCGGTGTAGAATACGGTGTTCGGGTATGACTATCCTCCAGCTCCGTTCCGAGCACCGCTACTGTAGCTAAAGACCCATTCAGCTCTCACATGGAAAGCATCATGTATGAAGATGAGTGCTCAGCTTGTCTTAAACGTCTCACTAGTAGATGTGCAGCAATGGTGAAGGCACTTGCCAACTGTCTGTGCTCTATTTATCGTCCCATACGATGATGAGCTGTGCCTTCCAAGTGAGCACAAGACATACGAGCATAGTGAAGTCCTTGACGACAGACTGAGGAGAGGATCATCTATGGCTCGGAAGGGTTTTTCCCCAAGTTTCCCTCTCTTGAAAACACACATGGTACGATGCACTCATTAGTTGGTGGGTGTGCGTGACTATCTGTCGGCCGTGGCTGTCGAAGTAGCCGTTGCGCGTCCCCGCGTAAACATGCGCAGTAATGGTCGATATCAGGACCGCTAAACACGCTAATTTTTGTCGGCTCCATGCTCTGCCCAATACCTTTTGCGGCACAGACTCACGTTCATGCTAACAGCCGTCGTGTGCGCGCGTGTCGCGTGCAGCTCTCTCGGCACTCTGCCAAGTCCTGAATTACGCGTTGGAATACAAGTGAAACGCGATTTCCTGATGCGGATAACATTTGAGGTGCTGCAAAATAAGAACCGAAGATGATGACGAGGGCCAGAACTCAAGAGCAACTGTGCTGCTTCTGCAATATCCCTCGGAGGCCGCGCATTTTCCACGAAACATGAAAATAAAAACGGCCTAAGCGTCCCACTTGTTAGTTCAAAGTATTTCTATGGCTTTGGAGCAGGATTCGCGCCGGATCGCAGAAATTTACACGCGATTTTAATTAATTTGCATTTCCTTGATTTTTCATTTTTGTTTTATTTACATCTACATTCGTTGTTCTTCATTTCTAGCCTTTGTCATCTTCATCACCTTCTATTCGGACTTTGCAGCATGACACCTCAAATGTTATCCGCATCAGGAAATTGCTTTTACTTGTATTACAAAGCCGCAATTACAGGACCTGGCGAAGTGCTAAGACGCTGCGCGCGACACGCGCCGCGCGGGCAGCTGTCAGCATAAACGGGAGTCTGCGCCGCAAAAGGCGTTGGGCGGAGCATGGAGGAATTAGCGTGTTTCACGGTCCTGTATCTCCATTCCTGCGCATGTTAGGACGGGGAAACCGCTACGCTTCGACAGCTGGGGGCTGATAGTCACGCACACCCAAACTATATGTGATCGTATGTGTCTTTAAATGTAGCCAGGTTCACTGGTTTCTAGCAGTTGGAGTTTATATGCTCGATAATTATCGAGGCGAAGAGGAGGGTCATTCGATTTCCTGCAGCTGGTGTGTCCCAGCTAAATTGAGCACTAGCTGCCCCTGTTCAATGAACGTATAAGCCTGATAAGTGGAACAGTGGAGGATATTAAGACTCCGCGTGAAAGTCAATCGCGTGGCGCATTCCGAATGAATGGGTCCATGCCGCACATTTTATACTTTAATTCTTTCATAAATTTTTTTTTGTTTTTTTTTCGGAAAAATTGTGCACTTTTGTGAAAGACTTGTAGATCAAAGCGGCTTAAGCTCGGACTTTAGCGGAAAGTTCACCTTTCAGGCGAGTCACACGGATGCCTTACGCTCGCCTTTGGAGCTTCATTTTTGTTCATCGTCATTGTTACGTTTGTAACATGTTTATCTTTACTATTTTTATCAATAATTTTCTTATTGAGTTCCATTTTATTCTTCAGTTTTGTAACGGGTTTCCGGTTTTAGCCCTTGGTCGATGGCTCTCCTCGAGGCAGTTCACTATATGAGAAACGTTTTATGTTTCCTCCCGGTTGCAACAACAGTCGAACTGTCACCAAGGTGAAGCTTTTTTGATTCCCAAGCTGGAAAACAGGGATCAAGAGAAGCCCAGGTCTAGGAAGTGCAATGTTACGTTTGTAGGGTTTTGTAGGGGCAGGGGTTCTGCTTGGCTCGATAAGAGGACGAGAATTTCAAAAAGCCGAAAATAATGACTCACTGGGTGGGTTTAGGTTCTTGATAAGGGCGGGGTTAGGTTCTTGACAAGAGCCCAGGGCGGTTGTGTCGCAACAGAGACCTTTCTAAGCTCAACCCCGAGATGTGCAGTCTTGTCAGCTGCCGACGGTAAAGCTCTATAAGGGGTGGGTTTGGCGCGGCGCCAGCTCGTTTTCCACCTGTTTTTGTCACCTGTCAGCTTCCACAATTGGTGGATAAGAGGCTAGGGCATTTTAGAGGAGCCAAACCAGCCCATCCAAAACGCCCCAGCGCCCGCAGCGAACAAGACAGCAGACATCTCGTCCGGTGGGCGGATTTGTCGGTGGCGTTTCATAGTTCCAATGTGAGACTTCAGAACCTTCCTTACAAATTCTTTAGGATTTTCGATGCAAAATTAGTTGGAGAAAGCGGTGTGCCACACGACTAGATCACGCCCCTTTTCAACTCGTCCGCGCCCTCCCATCGAGATTATGTTCTCTCCTTGGTCGGCGCCGAGTCAGTCTGTTAGGATAGATTTGGAACGATTTCTTTGAGCAGTGATCAATCCTTTTATTCAGACGTCAGTTTCATGGCCTCCAGAAAAAATCGACTCCATATCGAGCATCATGTTTCCAGTCAGTTTCTTTGTGTTCAATGTGAGTCTTGTGCGTTTAATTACATTCGAGGCAAATACTTCATTTTCACCTACTCAGGCATAGAGCCGCTTACCATGCTGGAGGTCAAATCGTAAATTGGATCCCACCTAGGCCAACCGAATTTTCCAGCCCTGGTTTCTACAATGTGGTTACACAATGAGACCAAGGAAAACAGACTTGTCTGGGAAGACGAAAACATCGACCAGTTGCATAGACATTTGAACCAATGCATGCAAAGATACTGAAAATCTTAAAAAAATTGGACAACCTTGTGCTAGTTCTCAATTTGTTTTGTGCCTTACGAGGTTGATAGGTGGAACCATTTATTCAATATGACCTAAGGTTAGGGTAAGATTTAACCCCAATATGGCCTAAAGTTAGGCCATATTGAATAAATAGTTCCACCTATCAACCTCGTAAGGCACAAAACAAATTGAGAACTTACATCTAAAATGCCGAGGTTGCAAGAAGAGAGAAGCTGGAGAACCAGTTTTGCGGCGGAAAGTTATAAGGTAGAGGAGTTATGACGCAAAGTTGCCTCAGTGACACCTCCTTTTTCCAGTGACTCCGCCTCCAGACTCCGCCTTCAAAGCCCGCCTTCCAGCCAAAAGCGATGCTACCGCACAAGTAGCATGAAAGGGAGATGCTCCATAGTCTCTTGCGGAGTCATAGGGCCTATTAGGAAGAATGAACCGACTGGATGCGATTCAACACGCAGTCTTCGGCCTTTTACCCGTACAACTGTCTGAGACTGGAGTGGTCTATTAGGGTGTTCCGACGTTCCCTTTAGTATTTCCTCTTTACAGACGAGTCACTTGACGGGCTGTCTTCCATATTCCAACACCACCGAAAAGCTCCTCGTCGCGGACCGTTCCTTTAAGCCGCTAACCGCCTTAGCTACCCTACCCACCAGGTGGCGGCTTCACCCAGGAATTGATAGCATTGCTCTCATGATTGTGTGGGCCGTACTTGTATATTTCTACTGACTAAGCATTTGCTTTTGGTGGCGCCTTCGTGCTCGCAATGTCTCTTTTTTTTGCACGCTCGTCCAGCGCTGAAACTCAGTTGGGAAAAGAGGGGCCTTATTTCAAGCGTTCCTGACGGTTTCAGTGAAAATTCGTGAGTGGATCCACTAAACAATTTGTATCGCTGCGGAATATTCTTTACAATGGCACCGAACAGACAAGAAAAATCTAAATGACTACCCAGATTGGACTGTTCCCAACATGAATGGGAGAGACCAAAATGATAACCCAGCTTGGACTGTTCCCAGCACAAGTGGGAGAGATGCACGAGGTCTACCGAAAAATAAGCTACGATTAGGAATTACCCACTGTTCAGCTTACTTCTGGAATTAAATGTTGTGGCATACGCACTAGAACTGATACTTTTCACAGAAGAACAACAATATGAGATAATTCATATAATAATATTTCAGATTGTTACTGCGTCTCACTATTTACATGAAGTAAATCAAGAAATATCGACAGTATGCAACAAATTAGTAGTGTATCAACTGTTGTATAAAGTTTGTTATTGTTTAAATACTTCTATTGTTGTCCATGTTGTAGTAACTTGACACGTGGCAGTGCGGCGCGCGTACTACATATCAATTCCCTTCGCCAGATATCAGGCTTAGCAGAACGTAGAGGGTTGAACTGCAGACCGCAAATGTAGCACCTTGAAGCTCCCCAGCTAGAGGGGTCCTCTGGAGACCGTCTTAGTATTTTTATTCTCTGGTTGTTGACATCTTGATTTTCTCGTTCCACTGGCTCTCGTTCCATTGCCACCCTACTCACCCCTTCTCCCCCGCTCGACACGGTAAGTCGCTAGAGGCGTGGTCTTTCTGTGAGGCATGTGGCATGAGTTTACGTGATGGGGTAGGTAGAAGGGTGGCGACGCCAGGGTGGGAATGAGAAAAGTAGTCGTGTTTTGCAAAATTATCCCACAAAGAGCAATGCTGGCTGAGGGATTCGCAGAACGACATATTCCAGGATCGCGGGCCATGCCTCCCCCCTCCCTCTCCTCCCCACCGCTTCCCTCCTCCCTAACGAGTTTTACGGTTTTGACTACCCTCCATCAAACAGACTATGGGCTTTTTGCTTAGCGTATAATTCAGCCAGATCGGAGTCTGTGGCGGAAGAAAGGGGTGTTACCGTAAGCATCACGCCTACGCCGACATTTTCACTGCTACAGGGGAATGAAAAAAAACACATTTTTTTCTCGACTTCCGAGGGCGATATAAGTTACACTTTATTAATTCTGATTGGACATTTCCACCATCATATTCAACAACACATTGTACACTATCACGATACTCCGCCACAGCCTTCTGGACGAACGCCATCGAGAGATTCTGCCACGCGACCGTGATTCGGTGCCTGAGTTCAGCGAGGTCGTTGATTTCTCCGCCACTGTAGACCACCCTGTTGAGCTCCTCCGAATACGGTAATTGAGAAGTTTAGGGCAGGTGGCACACTTGGATATTCCGTCTTCTTCAGGTTCTCAACGCCCTTCGATTCCAAGTAGGCGAGAGTTTTTCCAACGCCCTTCGATTCCATGTGCTGGCACCCAATCCTGTAGCAGTACGAAGTTTCCAAGATGGTACAGGCGACGACATGAAGGCAGGATATTCGAGTTGGTCGATGTAACCGTCAGCGCTCACCTTCAGTCCGGGGTCCACGAAGAAAATATCGGTCTTCCCATTCCAGGTACGTCCGGTCCATACCATCAACCCGCGCCTTGGCGACTGCGGTGAAGATGATGTCCTAGACCGTAGCGACGTTGTCGGAGCTGCTCGATGTTGGAGGTCTTCCAGATCGAGAGTACTGGTCTCCAGGTAGCTATCCATGGGTGACTCCATACTAGAAGTTTCGCAGCTGTTTGGAGGTGACGTGAATTCCATAGGCCTTCTCCAGTTCGGCTGCGACTGGCGG